TGAACTCAGCTTTCCAAAGATATGATAAACCACAGTTAATTTATGTTTTAACGGGGGGGGGGGGAATCACTTTTTCACACAGGGCCATGTAGGTTTGGATTTTTTTCCCCCTTAATAATAAAAACCTTCATTTAAAAACTGCATTTTGTGTTATCTTTGTCTAATATTTAAATTTGTTTGATATCTGAAACATTTAAGTGTGACAAACATGCAAAAAAATAAGAAATCAGGAAGGGGGCAAACACTTTTTCACACAACTGTATATACACGTATATATATATGTGTGTGGGGTGATGAGGAGATTGAAGGCAGCTGGGTGGACTGGGCAGGTGAGGAGATTGAAGGCAGCTGGGTGGACTGGGCAGGTGAGTAGGATCAGTGCAATCAGGGGAAACACACACAGAGACAGAGACACAGGAACACAGAGGGCAAAGCCTAAACCGTAACAGTACCCCAAGCCCGGTAACCAACCCCGGAGTTGCTCTGGACCCAGGCGCTCAGGCGGACAGCCCGACGGGCAGAAGGGCTCAGGGGAATGAAGTGATGGCCCAGCGGGGTAAGGACTGGACGTCGCTGCATCACGGAGGTGGCAGCGGCAGAAACTGGAGGTCGCTGCAGCGCGGAGGCGGCAGGAACTGGTGATCGCTGCGGCTCGGAGACAGCGGCCGGAACTGGAGGTCGCTGCGGCTCTGAGGCAGCCGGGTCCGGGGATAGCTGCGGCTCTGAGGCGGTGGCGGCCGGGTCCGGGGATAGCTGCGGCTCTGAGGCGGCAGCTGGAGGCGGCCAGACCGCCGACAGGACACGGGGAGCAAGAGTCGGCCGGACCGCCGACAGGACACAGGGAGCAGGAGTCGGCCGGACCGCCGACAGGACATGGGGACCTGGAGTCAGCCGCGGCCCAGCGGGAACAGGGGATCGCTGCGGCCCAGCGGGAACGGGGGTCTGACCCTTCCTCTGCCTCCTACGAGGGTTGAAAAGGCAGTCCATCTGCTTATGGTTTGCCTTCTGGACACTCCGAGGCCCTCCCCTGGCCAAGCAGGTTCCCCAAAACTGGTTTCCTGAGTCTTTCATGGTCAGATCGTTCTGTCACGTTCTCTCAGGTTTAGCTAAGACTCAAGCGCAGACCCAGACACTGTAGACGAGGTGAAGTTGGAAATAAGGTATTTTACTTAAAAAGTCATAAACAAAAACTTAAAGCGACTCCAACAGGGAGCAGGCAAAAATCCAAACAGAATACAAAAAGGCAAAGTCACAAAAAAGCAAAGGTACAAACCAGGAGCAAACACGAGTACGCTGGAGCACCGAACAGACACGAGGGAGACACAAAACTGGAACAGACAGGGGAATGAACAAAGACGATCTGATAACCAGAACAGGGAAAGCAGGGGAGTATATATGTGTGGGGTGATGAGAAGATTGAAGGACTGGGCAGGTGAGTAGGATGAGTGCAATCAGGGGAAACACGCACAGACACAGAGACAGAGACACGGGAACACAGGAACACATGGGGCAAAGCCTAAACCGTGACAGAAACGCATACAAAATGAGTGATGTAAAACTGCTTTAAGAAGACAAGGAGAGAACTCTAACCTATTATGCCAGTCAACTTTTGTTTGCTTCATTTTCAATGTAATAATCCTCATAATATAATAACCTATGACAGTAAGAACAAAACTGTTATTACCTTATGCACAAATGATTTACAATTTGAGCAGGATTTCATGTCAGCATTCCTGGCTCCTCCACCCCCACACTGTGGGATCAGGGAGGAGGAGGAGGAGGAGAATGCTTGACTTGCTATCATTAGAGAGGAGAAGGACTGACCAAACCATCAGCCAGCCTGGGTGGGAGCTGCTCAGAGACACAAAGGAATGCACCATTATAGCTTCAAAGAGAGACAGAGAGTGTGTGTGTGGAGGGAGGGGGACTGTCAAAGGGGCTTCAATAGTTTAGCTAATCTACTTTTATATATCAGGGATTCTTTACTGCTGATCCATGTATTTTTTTATTAGTGAAGTAACATATTTCAGTTTGAACAAATATGTTCAAAATCCTAAAGAGTTTTGCATCATACACTCACAAACTAAATGCTCTTTATTACCTACAGTGAATACATCCCATTCTGGAATAGAACTTCTCATGTACGGATCTACAGTGAGCTGTACATGGCACAGCTTTAAAACAACTCCAGTGTAAAATGACTACCATTCTGAGTATAGGGATACGCATGTGTCCTTGTATACCACTGTATGACTCTGCAATATCATAATGCTTGTTACCAACATTTGAATGTTTGAGCATACTTATCACAGTGAGCTTCCTTCAGTGACTTCTTTCAGGACGTAATTTCATTTACAGTCTACTCAAAGGCTTTTATCTGTCGGAAAGAGTAGCATAAAAACAGAGCACAGGATTCTTGTGTTCCGTAGATGCAGGAGAACATGAAGGCACATGCTAATATCCCATCGTACGCACACCCATATGTTCCCTGCATTAAGTGTTTTCTGACTTATATTAACCAGTAGGAATAACAACAACCCTACGTTCTTGTACTCAGTGAGAGAAGCAGCAGTGTGTTGGGAGATCAGGTTTTAATGTACTGTATACCCATTTTTTTCTATTGTCACTTGTAAACCATGATACACAACATAAGCCTCAGCTACAGCCATATTGATATCTGCATTAGATTTAAACATCACATTTCATAAATAAGCCAGGCAGTGAGCCGGGGTTGATGCAGAGTAGAGGTCTTCACAGGTCCGAGACGCAAGCCAGGAGTCGGTGTTGATATGTCTAATACTTGTGGACATGAATGAATCTGAGGGTACGTCTGAATCTCAGCGGGAGAACAGATTTGAGGACATCGGTTCTCTTCGGACTGAGTATCTCCTCAGGTTTGGACACGTTTCCAGAGACATTGGAGCCCAGACCTTCAGAATAGGCTCCATACAATTGATTGTCACATGTACGTGAACATTACATCTGTATTATAACATCATGGGCATTGATGAGCCACCATACAATATTTTGCAGATGCCAAGACATAAAAACGGATACATCTATGTATGTGGACGTACTTTTAGCCTGAAAATGTATACAATCAGCCACATTTGAGCAATATTGGGTCAGTTGTACAAGGTCAGATGACCTTAAACTTTAAAATCTAGAAATTGTAATTGTACCACCCTATCTAGAACTGCACAAATCATGATTAAATCTTACGTTCCACCCATTTAAAAGTACATTTAATACTACATTCTGTCTTTCCAATTCATATCCAGCTGGGACTTGTATGCCAGTTCCATTTCAGAAACCGTTCTCTTTACATTGACATGAAACTGGTACAGTGGGTCATTCTGAATCTACTGTATATCACATCAGCACCTTTAGTTATCTGTAAAAGCATCCTGGTGAAGTTCAGTAAAGTTAGCAGCACTGGTGAGTCAGAATGAAAGGCAAGTGAACAGTGGGACTTCCTGGAGTACAAATATGAATACAGCGGCATCAGAGCTTAATGACTCATTCTGAGTTCAGTAAGAATCCTTAACTTAAATAAAGAAATGATTCATTACTTAAAGGGTCTATAAGTCTAAAAGAGCAGTCTGATAACTATTTGTGAAACATTATCCCGAAGCTAGAATACAGGTTTGTCGTAGGATTAGAGTATAGAAAATGGTAACTTGACAATGTTTTATTCATAAAACAACCTTGACAAATAGTTCAACCTTTGGGGAGATACACGTATCTGCTTTCTTTCTGAGAGTTAGATTCAATTTCAATTCAATTTAATTTGTAAAGCCCAAAATCAGGGAGCTTTATAATCCGTACATATGCGACATCCTCTGTCCCAGGACCAAATGAGGAGATGGATTTCAGTCTCATGTCTGTGTGTTCAGTAGGAAGCTGGGATTGCGTTGTGATTAGCCTAGCTTAGCATAAAGACTGGAAACGGGGAAACTGCTTGCATGGCTCGGTCCAAAGTGTAGAAATATGGCAACAAACACCTGTAAAGTGCTCTACGTTGTATCTTATTTGTTTAAAGGGACAACTTGTTGTTTTAGGGGGAGTTAAGTGCTGGAACTATGTAATGGTGAACACTTTATCCATCCTTCCAATATTTCTGTGCAGTGTCACCAACGTCAGTTCAACCACTTCTCTCTCCAAACTCATCAAATACCATCAGTTGCCCAGTACCCCTCGGCATCGGAAATTGATGCACAAAGGCCCTCTTTACTGGCTGTATGCGATGCACTAAGCTTTCAACTAACTCCAATGTAAACCCTATCTGCAGCATTGGTGAACGATAAAGTGCGTGAGTCTTAGGGCAATCTGGAAGTGTGGTCAAAAAACACAGGACTAACGTCCAGGAAACTGCTGTTTGTGTCTCGTGAAACTAAAAGTAAACGTTCACATTATGTCACCTGACTCGGAACTTAAGTGCGTCATTAGTTACTTGAGTCGCCATTCTCACGTGACTCATGTTACTCACTTGACTAACGACTCACGTTAGTCATGTGAGTAACGTGAGTCGTTGTTAATGTGAGTCATTGGTAATGTGAGTCGTTAATGTGAGTAGTTGGTAATGTGAGTCGTTGGTAATATAAGTCATTATTAATGTGAGTCGTTGGTAATGTGAGTAGTTGGTAATGTGAGTCGTTGGTAATGTGAGTCGTTAATGTGAGTAGTTGGTAATGTGAGTCATTGGTAATGTAAGTCATTATTAATGTGAGTCGTTGGTAATGTGAGTCGTTGGTAATGTGAGTCGTTGGTAATGTGAGTCGTTAATGTGAGTCGTTATTAATGTGAGTCGTTATTAATGTGAGTCGTTGTTAATGTGAGTCGTTATTAGTGTGAGTAGTTGTTAATGTGAGTAGTTGGTAATGTGAGTAGTTGGTAATGTGAGTCATTGGTAATGTGAGTCATTGGTAATGTGAGTTGTTGGTAATGTGAGTCATTGTTAATGTGAGTCGTTGTTAATGTGAGT